ATGGTACTGGAACCAATGATATCATCATGTTTTCACCTGAAGAATTATGACAGTCAGCAGTCTCTGTACCGGGCTCTGTACAACTAATGATGGTATTTTTCACTTTAGATTTCGACAGTTTGGTTTCAGATATGACAGATGTGTATGACCAAGTAGATAGCTCAGGCAGAATTTAATTACCCTCACACATGCATCTAGTGTGATTCTTTGTAGAGAGGGGACAACTGAACTCTGACCTTCTGGTGATGCTACTGGATGGGATTCCCCCATGATGGGGAAGGCTGGAAACTTTCTGGCACAAGGAAGGTGACTCCTACTCCACCTGCAGATTTACAACTATGGAACAGATTGAGGGCCAGCATAGCAGAGGAGGGCCTGGGAGTATCTGAGCCAGCAGAGCTTGAGCCACGCTGAAGCGCCAGAAGGAAATGGCAAGTGGTAGAACTAAGTGGCTGCTTGCTGCAGGAGACAGAGGCTGCCATCTGCCATCCTGACCTGTCGTCTCGGGAGGTTTGCTGCTTGCCTGAGCCTCAGACTCAGAACGCTGTCATCTGTTAAAGCTTGTCTGGTGCTCAGACTACTACCCACTGCTGCTCTTCTGTGTAGGCACCAACACCACTTCCAGGGAGATCTGGAAAACATCAAATGTGACTGCATGGCTCTGAGGGCGATTCAAGGGCGCAGGGGCCCAAGCAGTGATCTCAATCCTACGATTGGGAGTAGTCAGGATGGATTTATGAAGAGGAAATCATGGTTAACCAAGCCAGTAGCCCTGTATGATGAGATGGTTGGCTTGATGGATGAGGGGAGAGCAATGGGTGCTGTGTATCTTGACTTCAGTAGAGCTTTTGATGCTGTCTTCTGCAGCATCCTCATAGGTAAACTGATGAAGTACAGACTAGATAAGTGAACAACAAGCTTGACTGAAAACTGGCTGAACTCTTAAGGTTTAATGGAGTGGGGTCAATGACATGAAGTCTAGTTAGAGGACAGTCAGTAGAGTAGTGGTATGCCCCAAGGGTAAATATTGGAGGCAACACATCTTCCTGGCTGTCCTGGATGATGGGTCAGATTGCGCCCTGAGGAGGTTTGCTTGCTTAAAACTAGGAGTGGTCGATCCACCAGGTAGCTGTGCTGTTACTCATAGTTCAGCAAAGTGCCTAAAGCTTTACATTTCAGTTCTCTGTACTGCTGCTACTTTATTATGGATATTTGAGAAAGTGTTTCTTAAGAGTCAAAGCAGAACAGTAAAAATGTTGTGTGGGTTTTTTTTTCCTGCTATCATAATTCCATCATTATTGTATCTGTTGAGATATTGAATATAATTCTGGGGCAAAAATCAGTATATGAAATGGATGGATAAAGGAAATACTCTGTAATTGGCAAGGGGAAAGGGGCAGACACAAAAGCATAACTAAATATAATAAAATACACAAAACTGACAGAAATGTATTGTTTACTGCATTTTAAGCCACACAATATAAAATTGCATGAAGTTAGAAAATGAATTGAATAGAACTAAACCATGAAGTTTAGCTGTCATTCTGAGAGCTCTTGTCTTCTGTCTGATGCTGTAATGACAGAATGAAAAATTGTTTTGACTTCATTCATTCTTTCAGAGTCTGGGAAACATGAATACCCTGAAGGGTTTAGAAAATTGCATTTAGAAGAAGCAGACAGATAAACAGTAATCATCTGTATACATTTATAATTATTTTGTTTCAGGCGTGTTGGTTTCTAAATGTTGAAATATAGCAGATCTCCATGGGGCTCCTTTTGGTTGTTGGAGGCAGAGAGAAAGCTTCTTTCAGCCATCCACTGGAGTTCAAGTTAGATGCCTGTATTAGAGGAATCTGTTTCTGTTTCTGTCCTGCCTATACAGAGACACAGGAGTGTACTACAACAAAAGAAGGAGGCTAAGAAAACTTAGGGAAAGTGCTAAATTTTAAGCATTCTATTGAACTCTGTGGGTTTATTCACCCTTCTGAATGGCATGGTTAGGAAGACACTAGTCTTATTCCCTGGATGAGACCAAATGTTTGTTTTATGTTGTAATATATTCACAGACTCATAGAATAGTTGAGGTTGGCAGGGACCTCTGGAAGTCATCTAGTCCCAGTCCCTTGCTCGGGAAAGTGCTAAATTTTAAGCATTCTATTGAACTCTGTGGGTTTATTCACCCTTCTGAATGGCATGGTTAGGAAGACACTAGTCTTATTCCCTGGATGAGACCAAATGTTTGTTTTATGTTGTAATATATTCACAGACTCATAGAATAGTTGAGGTTGGCAGGGACCTCTGGAAGTCATCTAGTCCCAGTCCCTTGCTCAAGCAGGGCCACCTGGAGCAGCTTGGACAGGGCCATGTCCAGGTGGCTTTTTGACTCCACAACCTTTCTGGGCAGCCTATGCCAGTGCTCAGTTGCAGTAAAAAAGTGTTTCCTGATGTTCAGAGAGAACCTCCTGGGTTTCAGTTTGCGCCCATTGCCTCTGGTCCTGTTGCTGGGCACTGCTGAGAATTATAGACATTAATAAGATCCTCCTGAGTGTCCTGGTTTAGCCCAGTCGTCAGCTAAACGCCACACAGCTGCTCGCTCACCCTCCCTTGCCCCCAGGGAGTGGGGAAGGGAATTAAAGGGGAAAAGGGAAGGAGACGGTGGGTCAAGATAAGAACAATTTAATAATAACAATAATAGAAAATTAATGAGTAAAAAAAATACATGGATATATATGTATATTGATAATAATACACACAAACAAGTGATGCACAGTGTAATTGCTCACCACCTGGTGGCCAACTCCTGTCCTGTCCCGGCAAGCAATCCCGAAACAGATAAATCCTGACACCGCAATCCCGGACAAGAGAGAGGCATGAAAAAAGAGCGAGAGAGTGCTAGCAGTTGGAGAGTGAGAGCCCCTGGAAGTGCAAAAGCCCATCTTTCCACTCAGCCCTCATCTATATACTGGACATGACATTGCATGATGTGGAATACTCCCTTGGCCAATCTGGCCCTCAATCCTAAATCTAAGTTCAGATCACAAGGGGAGTTGTGGGCCCTTTGTCCTGGCCATGCTCCCCTTCAGTCTCTTGTGCTCCTGCACACCGGCAAAACAAGGGAAGCTGAAAAGTCCTTGAGGTCTCAGTGCCAACTATAAACATCAGTGCGCTATCAGCATTCTTCTCATAAGGAATCCCAGACTAAATCCAAAACACAGAGCTCTTCCAGCTGCTAAAAAGAACTAACTCTGTCCCAGCTGAAACCAGGACATTGAGCCTTCTCTGGGCTAAGCAGCCCCAGTTCTCTCAGCTTTCCTCATTGGAGAGGTACTCCTCTCCCTTAATCATCCTCATGACCCTTTGTTGGCCTCTCTCCAGTATGTCCGTGTACTGAGGAGCCCACAGCTGGACAAAGCACTCCAGGTGTGGCCTCATCGGTGCTGATTAGAGGGGAAGGATCACCTCCCTCACCCTGCTGGCAATGGTCTTCCTGGTGCAGTCTAGGATAGCGTTAGCTGTCTTTATGGCAAGGGCATGTTGCTGGCTCATGTGGATTCTTGCAGTATATCTCATGATATGTCTTGCCTTTTGTTTTGGAATATCCAATTATTAAATCTTAGTACCCTTTCTGTTGAAAGGATAATGATTTTTTCAGCTTAATTGTTTGTTGCAGGTAGGCTAGGTGCTTCATAGATAGCATTGTTGAAATAATTTGCCAACATTACAGAAGTAAATTAAGTAACAGTGCTCCTTATGTAAGTAAGCGTATTATGTGCTATCTTTAGTCGAAGTGTTCACAAAGGAAATCACAAATTATTAATAGATCCTTTATAAAGAATGGTATGCGCTGATTTTTTTAATAGAAAATGAATGTAAAGTGATTATTCTTGCCTGTTTGTGGCAAGATGCAAGATATATTCTTGTAGAGATTTGTTATTTTGTTTCAGCATTTAACCGAACCACCACAAATAGTTTCTTAACTGAGCAATCTCAAAATCTTTTAAACTTTTTTCTTGCAGTTATTAGATTGAGTTAGTTGGATTTGGAAGCGTGGTGGTAGTTGGATGGGTTTGAATTTGTTTGTTGTTTATATTCAATTAACTTCTATGCAGTTAATAGAAAGCTTTCAGTGAGAAGGGAGATAAGGAAACCCAGTTCTGTTAGTTTTGTTATCTAGAATTAGAAGATTATAGGATTGAAAAGGACATTAGAAATTAGTTGTTAATGCCAGCAGCCCTGAAACAGAATGAGTACCTTTATAGCATTTGTATGTCTAATATTCTGTAAAGCTTTTCGGTGAAGGAAGTATATGTGATCTAACAATGAGTTATCCCTATTAATTATTTCTGAGGATTTTTCTAACTTTGATACTTAATCCTGTTGATACCTTTCTTCTTTACTACATCAGTCGTACAATGAATTTGTCTCTTTGTCCTTGAAAACAGCCTCCTCTGTCTTTGATAGCTATTGTCATGTCCTCCTTCCACCTTCTTAATTCCAATCCTTCATTCTTTCTGTTGGTCATATCTTCTGGATCTCTTGTTTTCCTGGTCTCAAATAGGATTCTTCACAATTTATTATACTTTGGAAATTCACATTGATGACTGTTCATCTATAACAGGTCTATGGTGAATATAAATATGAAAACATTTCTTCAGAAAATAGGACCACATTTCATTATTTGATATTAGTTGTATGTAGTAGATACTGTGTACACATGTATATTGGGGAATGTGTGTGTGTATTTATATGTAATTGTGGAAGGGTGGATAACAGGATGATGAGTTGTTTTTCTAATTCTGTTTTTAAAATGGTGGCTAAAGGTTGTTTAGAATGGAAGAGGTGTTGGTTTTCTGCGTAAGAAAATCCTAGAAACTGGTTATTAACCCTCCATTGATCAGAATCTATAGTGATCGGGTTTGTTTCTTCAGTGTTGTGAATTCTAAGTTGCTTTTCTTTTTTTCTTCCCCCACCCCACCTTTCTTTTTCTCTGTAATTCACAGCTTTTGGAAATTAACTGGACTGGACTGACCAATCTTCTGGATGTTCCGGGACTAAAGTGAGTATATGTAAAGCAGTGTTTGATATTTCTCCACCCCAATAAACCCCAGAAAATCTGAAGACCGTCAGCTAAATAATTTTAAGTTAAATGACTGAGCAGTTATCTCTTAATTTAGAATTATTTGAAATTGCTCAATATGCAGAAGGTAGTGATTTCACTGCAAGTCAAAGTGCATCAAAAATATATCCAGTAGGTCTTGTTAGAAATGTTTTGAAAAGATCATTTTTAATCTGTTTTTTTTTAATGTTCTCAGCCTTTTCAGTTTTCCAAAACCTTGTGAATTTTCTATCTGCCGTCTCCTATCTGCCATCTCCTAGAACAGCAGAAAGACAAAGAGCCTTATTTTTCACACCAGTGGGTTCACATCTTGGCTCATGGCTTTGCATGCCGATACATTTCTGGTTGCTTATGTAAAGGTAGTTAGAAGTACCTTAAGACAGTAATCGTATTAAATAAACTTTCTCATCTCTTCAAGCACTTACTTTTAAAGCTTTCAGTTTATTATGCGAAGATCAAATGGAGTAGCAAAAACACTGACCATATATAGCTAGAAAAAAATACTTGGCTTATTCAGAGCTTTTCAGAACATTACATGATAAAACTCTAAATAAAAAAACAAAAGTATAGGTGAAAACCAGGCTGCTTTGAATCATTGCAATCCTGATAAGGTTACATGCATGAATAAATTCAGAATTATTGAGTTGTAATAGTTACCCAGGGGCTTTTTAATATTAGAACAATGGCTAAAGGGAATAACCGTGGATCTGATACACACCTGGATTTGGTGACTAGTCCTTTTATTGGATCCCATACTCTCAAGAGTATTGGAGACCCGAGAATTATTTTTTATTGTTTAAAAACAAGAGTTTGAATTTAGACATTAAATTAATCCTTTAGTGCTCAATTGCATGACTGAAACAGTTTTTGCTTTACTTAGACATGTGAAGCCAGTGCATGGAATCCCAGTTGAACAGTCTGAAAGTAGAACTTACATTAAGTAGGTTAATGGCTGCAAGAATTGCTTATATTTCTATCCTGCTTCACACTGCCTCCAAGGAAAGAGGTTTTCTTCATGAGTGAGAAAATGGCTTCCAAAATAAGCTCCTGAGTAATAACTTCCTCGTTTGACATAACACTAATAAGTTTATGTTTAGTACTTAAGCTTGCTAGGCTCCTGAGATTCATACTGTGCTACGTGTTTGCCTGCCTGACAACACGAAACCTCAGATGTAAACAAAATATCTCAAGTTTATCGTTTCCAGAGCAACCAACCTTGGCCATGTATGCATATAAGAGTACCATCTTGATGTGGTATAGTTTCTATAGTAACTGTAGCTGAGGTGACTCATGCTCTGCCTTGCTAAGGGATTTCTTCAGTGCTGTATTTGGTTTTCTTATCTGTGTAGATAGTTGGTATGTTTTGGTGTGACAGCTTGACATATTGTAGTTGTTATAAGCTGTGATGAACAAGAGATTGCTGCTGCCACAGGTACCTTTTTTGTCCTACGGCTGTTGGCTGCACACAAACAGAGTAGTTCTTTGTACTCTGTTTGCAAATGCCTTCTGCTAAATGAATTTCTGCATTTGCTGCTGGAAGCTTCCCTGTCAGCTGTTAACAACTTCCATTGCTCTTCGTGTATGACTCTGCAAGGAGAAGGACACAAAAGTGATTCATGTTCCATCATTACTATAGCTTCCAGAGGAGCGGAATTAAGGAGGAGCCAGACTGTGAGAATACTCAAGTGCTGTCAGGAGGAGATATATAGATGATGGGAAGATGAATTCTGTTACGGTTTCTTGAGATATATTACAAATACTTTCTGCAGTCAGAGATGTGCTGTTCCTGCACTGTGAATAAAGACGATGCAGGAAAAATACATAGCTGCTTATTCTGTCACTAAAAATTAGGTAGAGCTAAATAGAGAGCAATACAACAGAGTAGCAAACTGCCAATTATTTTTCCTGCAATGAAACTGAACTTTTGAAGACGTTTACTATAATAAACTATCTGAAGCATTTCACACTTCTCTCGTTTTTGTGAGCTGAGAAAATAATTGTACTTAGAATCAATGACTTAGAGTTTTACAGTCTTAGGAAGCCGTTTATCGATGATGCATCAACATAAGGGTTTAAATTGATGCATCTTTCTCTCTTGATCAGGGATTTGTCTCTGTTTTCCATGGATCAGACCTCTTAGTTGAAGTAATTATAGGATAAAAAAGATTGTCATTTTTATCTTGTCTTCATGATGGATACTTTATAGCTGGGAGCATCCCAGTTGGCTAATATTTGGCTAGATAAGTTTTGAACAGCTTGAAAGTGTCATGCTGTTTTAGAATTCGTTTAAGTCATTGATTAGTTACGATCTTTGGTATTCTTTTTCAGCTCCCTGTTTTTAAAGACAGAATATGTGTTACCTCCTATAAGTCCAGTTTCTCTGTGTAAAATTGTGTGAAATTCCATTAATGATGGTTCATTTTTCATATTCATTTCTGTGATGCTTTAGTGAAATTCAAGCATTTATGTGAGGATAAAAATGTGAGAATGACCTTTGGAATCAGAGAGTTGAGATTTGATCCTAGTCTAAAGAGCCAAGTGACTGGGCTCTGTTGTGCTTCAGGCTGTTTATTTCTCTTGTTTAAGAAGATGTCCTGTAGCTGTATTTGAGCATTAATCAATCTCTGAATCTTTTGCTAGTTTAGGTTAGGTTTATTTCTGCCTATAGCTTATTTCATAATGTATGTGATCTTAACTAAATACAGAGAAGAGCACGATAGCCTTTCTTTCAAGGCAACTCTGGTACCATTGCCTCTCTTGCGCTGCTCGTTTGCTTTCTCTGACCTAGGTCAGTTAGTTTTCTCCATTAAGTTGTCTGTTCTTTACTGAGCATAAAGGCAGAGCTTTCTCTTCTTACCAGGTAGGGGCACTAACAAAAGCATGAACAGAACAAATGTATCTGATCTCTGTACAGGAGATTTATCATCAGACTTGTATTTTGAAAAGTGTGATGGTTACTTGTGTAATTACCGTCACCTCAGCTTTTTTTTTTTCCCTTATAACGTTAACGGTTAGAGATGTTTATCTTAAATTTTTAAGTCAACTCTAACAAAATAATGGGTTCAATTTTCTTGGCTCATTTTAGAGAAGTTTAACATACGTAAGTTGAAAACTTGATGTTTAGCAAAACTGAACTGAGAAAGTTTGAAACCGTGAGTACCATGAGTAAAGGAAGCTACTTATTTTCAAGTAACATATTTATCTTATTGTAGTAGTTGTCTTTAAGAATTACTGAAACTATAAATTTGTAGGGTTCAGTGTTCATGTGGAATGAAAATATTTGTAAATATGAATGGATAAGCTCCACAAGAAAAGAGGAGGAATGAAATCTCTTTAGGACAGATGTGAGTTAACTCATAGATGTTGAGAGGAAACTTTTCCTCTGAGCAGTATCTTAACAGTGTCTGCTGTTGCTTCTTTCAGAGAATAAACAGAGGTCTACACAGACTTGTCCATTGATCTGGATGCAGTCTTGAGTTTCTTCTGTTCCTACTGTACTGGGCCACTAAAAAGCCAGCCATGTTCTATCATGTATCATAGTTCATCTGGATTTACAGTCGAAGTGGGCAGCCAAAGGGATGCAGGCTGACAGGTTGCAAATCTCTGGCGTGAAAGATCAGTGTGAATTTGAAATGGGCCAGATTGTATTTAATGGGTTAATTCTGTTACCTGTCTCTACCATAATATGTTTATTGCTCACTATGAAATTTTCATCCCAGATTAAAATGTAACATATATGACATTTCACTGCAGCTGTTGTGTTTGTGTGCTAGCTGCTGAGTCAGAGCTACTCCCAGCTGCAGATTGAGTCTTGGAAAAACTTTGCAAGGTGATCACATCCAAGTGCTTCATCTGAAAAATGTTCTAAGTAATCAAACATTGTCTGCATCTTAATTTCATAAAGACTGTATAAGTCTTTCTGACTTTTACATTAATGACAAGTAAAAAGAATCATAAAGTGTATTTAGGAGGAGAAATCATTCATCTTTGAAGCAGCTCCACCGGCTTTAGTGGGAGTGCATGTGCAGTTCAGACTGTCTCAAGTGGTTTTGTATCTCTGAACTTTACATACCCCTAAAATCTTCCGGGATGCTTGTCTTCCGCAGTGAATTGCACCACTTCAGTTCTGCCTTTTGCCAGCATAGGCAAAGTGTGTAACCAGTGGTGTTGTTCTGACAACAGACCGATTTGTTGTCAGTTCAGACCCAACCCGGGTGAACTCACAGCTTAGAAAATCTTTTTCTTTTCCAGGTTTGTGGAGGGGTATGGGGTTGGGTGTTGTAAATGATTCGTTACCAATGTGATTGTACTGCCACTCCCTTCTTGCTAGAACAAAACCTGTTTTCCTTCCCTCGGCTGTGTTTTACTCATCCACGAGCATGTTTTGTGTTTCTGTTTTTAAATGACGATCCTCCCAGCGCAAGAGGACAACTTGTTTCATAACAACGTAGGAATGGTTAGCCAAACTTTCAAGGACAGTTTAGTGATTACTGAAATACAAAAGTAGATTAGCAGTTAACATCTGCTTGATTATAGCAATGCAGGCAAGAAAACTTATGCAACAGCCTTTTACCCTGTGTGGCTTTAAAAGGCCGGGGGGGGGACGGGAGGGACTCTCAGCGTGGCAGTGAAATGAGCACTTATATTCATCACTGTGGTTTCTGGTATTCCATGTCAGCTGCTTCCACCTGGTGGCCATTTTGGCAAGAATACTTTATTAAAAAAAAAATCGAACAAAACTTTTAAAAAACAGATGTGTCTTCTGTCCACCCCCCACCCCCAAAGGCTAATGTTTTCTCCATTTAGGTTGTTAAGCAGCAAAAGGAGTGTATCGGTGTGACATGACACATGTTTAATTTTCATGAAGTAACTGAGGATTATTTTCTCCAACAGTGGCTTATCAGATACAATAATACTGGATATAATATCCAACTACCTGGTCCTTCCAAATAGAATTACTGTCCCCCTTGTCAGTGAAGTGCAGATTGCTCAGTTGCGATTTCCTATACCAAAGGTAGGCATGTTTCTGTTAATAGCAATGATTTGGCATTTAGTTTTTTCTGTAGTAGTAACTGTTAAAGATAGGCACATCTATTTGAATTTCTAAATATAGTTATTGCAGTAGTAGAAATTATCATGAATCCAGTCACTTAAAATAATTTATTTAATTTATAAATAATTTCTGTGGAGTTAATATTTCATAATAATGCCAAGAAGGAATTTTTTGCTAGAATCTTAATCATATTACTTGTTAAAATATGATTCAACTTTATAGCCTAAAAATTAGGTAGCACATGTTTTACACTATCACTGCAAATTATTGTTAGTGCTCTTCACTTAAAGTTTTTATTACTTACTGCTACTCACTTCCAGTAGTGTGGCATTTCTTGCTATAACTGACGTGTTTCTGAATGTTGATAACAGTTTTTGTTTTCAAGAGTAACATATATTGCATAAATTGTGATGACTTGGAGGTTTTCAGATTACTACATAAACACATCTTTTCCTTTTTCAGGGTGTTCTAAGGATATACTTTATTGAAGCTCAGGACCTGGAAGGGAAAGATACTTACCTAAAAGGGATTGTCAAAGGAAAATCAGATCCTTACGGAATCATCCGTGTGGGCAACCAGATTTTCCAAAGCAAGGTCATCAAAGAAAATCTCAATCCAAAATGGAATGAAGTTTATGAGGTATAATCAATAAATATACCTTGTTGTATGTTTTGTAAAGTTGTCTTCTGAGTCTTCTCTTATTGAAGAAGATATTCTGGAGGCTTTCTCAAGGAGCTTCTTGATTTCTCCCTCTAAAAGCCCAAAGTTCTGTAACAAAAAAGAAATTCTCCATTGATGTATGTACTTCCTTTGTCTAGACTAAGCATCAGTAATTTTGAAAAGCAGTCTAGTCTCTTAAAGCCAACATTAGCAAATCACATCTGAAAAGCTCTTATACTTGCTCTGCTCATTAAATCACATGTTTTTAAAGCATTTGCTTATTGATATGTTTTAATGCACAAAGGCACTGCAGTTCAGTGTTTTACTGCTACTCTGCCATTTAACAAAGCTAGTTTGTTTTACCACTGACAGTGCCATCTTACTGTACTTCCAGGCCTTAGTATATGAACATCCAGGACAGGAGCTAGAGATTGAGCTCTTTGATGAAGATCCAGATAAAGATGACTTCCTGGGAAGGTAAATGTTATGGAGAATATAATTGTAGGTATTGAGATGAAATATTTTGATGGGATTGTTGTTTTTTTTCTTTTTGCATTTTATTGCAGTTGTAGTTCTGCTATATTCCTATATTTCTAAATTCAGTATCTTCAAAATGCTGGTAGTAAGTAGTTCTCAGATTACTTCATATATGTAAATATAGCTATATAAAAATGTGCTTGTGTATATACACATCTATATGTTTATATATATAATTTTTTTTAAAGTAAGGTAAGTATTGTGGGTACCCAGAATAAAAGAAGTTTGTTTTGGTTTGTTTGGTGGTTTGTTTGTTTTTTGGGTTTTTTTTTAAGGAATTGTGCTCTACCTGCTTTAATGTTCATAAGCTAGCACTAAGAATTATTTCTTCAGGCAAAGTTAATATAGCTTTATGACTGTGTATCTTCTCCATCTTCAGAGGTTTTAAATGACTAGCTCACAGTTTATTTTTCTCTAAGAGCTGATCTTAACTATTTGCTTAAAGAAAAAATTTTGCTGTAATGCTTTCGCAAACATTACTCACTCTTAGATTCCACAGGCTTACCTTTAGTGTTTACCCATAAACATTTTGGGGTTTTAGTCAGCTTCTTTCTCCAGTAATTTGTCACCTTTATTTCTTGCAGAGTTTTGGAGCTTTGCCATTGTTGCTTTCCATACAGAGTAGAACTCCCTTATCTTTCCAGCTCCTTCTCTCTTAACAGGAGCACCAGTACCTACTTCTCTTCTCATTAAAATAAAGAAGTAGGTAGCACAAAGGCTTCTTTTCTTTGCACTTCCCTAATCTTACACTGAAGTGGTGGGGGGGAAAGTGGCATAATGTGTACATCAGTACTAATAAAATATAAAGCCACGACAATTGTTCATGCACTGGCATACAGTTGTCTGCCCTGTTTAATTTTTAGCAGATGCCCTGGTACGTTTTTAGCTTGTGTGAACTACCACTCTCCCAGACAATGCCAAAGCATGAATTCAGTCATAGCATATCTCCAGGGGCTATTTCCAGTGGGTAGCTTGGATGTGGTCACTGTTTTGAGATTTGGTCATATGTATGTGAGCCATATTGTGCCAGTTGCCCTTGTACCTACAAAATGGGCTCTAGTATAGGCATATTTTCTGTTATCCTGCATTCATCTTTGTTCAGCCATTTCATTCCCTGATTCTTCCTTTCTTAGGGGCTAAAAGAATAGTATTCTGCTCTTTTGATCTCAGTGGAAGCCTGGATACTCGGCAAGCACAGGGTGGGGTTTGAGTTCTGTATTAGATTTTTTGCTTCTTGGCTAAAATACTGATTTTTTTCTTTTTTTCTCCCTATTCATTTTTTCTAGTTTGATGATAGATTTAATTGAAGTTGAAAAGGAGCGTCTTATAGATGAGGTAAGTGTTCAGTAAGTTTTGATTTAAAATGAAAACCAAACTGTTGTATATGCAGTTGTTCTTGTATTATTTTTTTCCTAGGGATAGTTCCTGTATGTCCATGAATAACCTTAACGCTATAGAAATAGATTTTCTGATGATCAGTACAGTGGTTTAAGGGATATGTCAATTGGTGAAATCTGAAGAATAATGCCATTCTTATTCTGTCTTGGGGTTTTAAGATTGCTAGTATGTAAATGCAAAAAACATTAATTTAGATACTTGGTGAGAGCTTTTTATGGTTTAATAATTATTAGATGTAGCAGACTAATTTTTTCCTGTATGTAAGAGAGATTTTATAGTAATGTTATGCAGGGTTTGTATTTCCAAAACATCTTTATAGAACTTAGAGAATTCTCTTGATATTTTAAAAATGTTTTTACTATAGAACATGGAAGATCGTGTGGCTGTTTTTGTTATTCTGTGTTGTTATATTTAGTGTGAAACAGGACATTTTAAACAATGAATCAGATCATCTTTTTCAGGTTATGCAGACTTCAGCTCTATGTGATTTCTAGTAGAGCTTAGCATTTCCTAAAAGTCCTGAAGAGCCAATTGCAATCATGTATTTGTTTGGTGTCAGATTATTTCACATTGCTTTGCTTAACTTTTAGTGGTTTACTTTGGATGAAGTGTCCAAAGGAAAATTGCATTTAAAACTGGAATGGCTCACATTGATGCCAACTGCTGAAAATCTAGACAAGGTATTAAAGCTACACATTACTTTTATCCTTATCTGAATTGTTGTGGGGTGTGGTTTGTTGGGTGGTTTTTTTTGTCGTACGTAAGTAATTTAATTCTCTAGCTGTTGTGAATTCGAAGCTGTTTGTCTTTTGAAATCTCAAGCCAGTCATAACTGTCAAATGTACTCCTGAAGCATGGGATTTTAAAATGCTTTTGTTGTCCTCTTCTTTTCTATTAATGTTATGGTTTGAGACTATCAGCTAACATTTCTTTAGCCTGGGAGAAAAAGCTGGATATGATACTATAATCCGTCCAGTCTAAACAAAATAATTATGAATGGGGTGGAAATTTCCCTAGAAATGGGTTTGAAATATCTATATTGGTCTTGAAAACTTACTTCTTATGCTTCATAGTGTGCATTTGTGAATGTTTGCATTTTGGGAGATGTTTTTAAAATATTTTTCAGGAAAAGGACAGAAATAATAATACTACTTGATTTTCAGAAAGGCTTACAGTGTATTTTTGGTTTAGGTGCTAACAAGCATTAGAGCTGATAAAGACCAAGCGAATGATGGGCTTTCTTCTGCATTGCTTATTCTCTATTTGGACTCCGCAAGAAACCTGCCCGTAAGTTATGTTCTGATGGATACCCTTTTGTCATGGGTGTCTCTTGCGTACTTCCAGCATGTCTTGCTTGGTAGTATGGCACACTGCTTTACTAGCACACATTATGCCATGTTTTCTCTACTTCCTCTCGTTTCAAAACGTGTAATGTAAGGTCCACATTTCTAGTAGTATAGTACTATAGATGAATATATGATAAAACGTTACTCCTTAATCAGTGTGATTTTTCTTTAAAGAATGCTCCTTTCCTGGACTTAAAAGGCTGCATGATTTATTACACAGCGTTTTCCATAAATAGCATGGGATTAGCTTGAGGAATTTTAAGGAACTAATTGGGAAAAAGCCCACTTCCTGAGTTCAGGTAAACTTGCCTGCTTTGGTTTAGGGTGTCTGTGGTAGATCTGAAGGTACCGAAGTCTTCATCGTGGAATTAATATTGTGCAGATTATGTTACAGTGGCAGAATACTTGTGTGAGATTTCTGTCAGGTTGCTATTTGAACTATTGTTTGAAGTATTTGCTTGTGCAAAACATAAAAACAACAAAAAAAATAGTTCTGTCATTGTACAGGTTATACTACTGGACTGTGAAGTAGCTTTATGACAATCACAGACTGTTTTGTAGTTTATTTCAGGTTAGTAAAGTACTGCTCCTGGTTGTAAATGATAGCAGTAATAAGGTAATCCCTACCATAATCAGATATGTGAAGCAAAACACTGAGTCTTGCTGTTTTTCAGCATTGCTATTAGATGAGAAATTCTGGAAGTGATGACTAAAATACTAATCAGAGAATAAAGTTTTCAAGGCTCAGATTGTTTTGCATGCATTTTGCAAATTTTTCCAGTCATCTTAAATTTAAGTTAAAATGCTGCATCAAACAACAAATGAAAGCTTAGTAGCCTAAACAATTTACATCACTGACTAGTGATTTCATGTCTGTTCCAGAGCGTATAGAGCAGTGTTTGGAAGTAGTATTTACAGGTTATTTTAAAAGCTAAAAAGATGTAGCTCATTTGGAATAGAGCCTTGCATTATCTTTTTGCCCTCCCTGTATTGAACTCAGGGGAACTCTGTAACTTAGCAGAAAAAGGGTGGAATTACTCTAGTACAGAGTAAGCAGAAATAGAATAGAATTACGGTGTGCTTAACATCAGTTTCAGAATAGTGCAACACACAGAAAAGTCTGTCTGCCATCTGTTTTGTGCATTAGTTTAAACTGAACCCGCTTCTGTGTTTTCATGTTCAACTACTGATTTTTACTCAAACTGTTACAAGTTCAATATATACGTTAAAATATACTAAAGCCTCTTACTTAAAATGAATAAAGTTCTTTCATCCACAATTTCCAAGTTTTTTCCACACAGCTCTGCTGCCCTGTATTAGATTAGCTTCTCCAGCAAATATTCAGAGGCTGTCTCATAAGTTTATTTTTTTCCCTTCTTGTTTTAAACAAACATTCTGTAACATTTTTTCCCTCCTTCAGAAAGGTTAGGTTGCAAGTCTTGAGTTCTACCTACTTTTGAGGACAGTATTTTAATTTCAATGCCTTAATCACTACTGATAATCAGTAGATCTCTAAACTGTAGAACACAGAAAGGGGAAGTTTCCTGCACAAAGCTGACCAATTAGGAAATTTGGGAATATGATCTCAAATTTTTTATTGCTGTATCTGATGTTCTGTCTACAGTGCAAGATTGCATGGATGGGTTGAGAATAAGGATGGCTGTAGTGTGGGACTTGTTTAATTCTCTTTTTTTTTTTTTTTCGTGCTCTACCAGCCCAGAAAAGCAGTTGGTACAAACGACTCAATATTGACTTTAAGCCATTTTATTTCCAGAAATATATTATAAAGAATATGATAGAAAGTAACATTGAACACTTGAAAATTTCGTTTACAAGTTTACAACAATAAAATAATACAAATCTGTGTTAAATTCAAGTTGTTCAAAACCAGATACAAAAAGGCTTCACAGTTAGGTGGGGGCAAAAATATCATCAGAAAACTACATGTGGGAGAACTGAAAAGATTCCTGTAAATTCTATAAAGACAATTCTATAAAGATAATGTCATGGAGCTGCTAGACAAACTGCAGTAAATTTTAGCAAATACAGCTTTTTTGTGTCTGATTCTAATATGGAACATTTACAAGTCTAAACATGAAAGTCTGCTGGCTTCTCGTGTCGTGTTCATATTTACTGATGGGGTCGTGTAATGTAACAGCGCAATTAATAGCTCGTTTGGATTGCTTGTATCTGGGGGGGACAAAAAGTTCAGAGAGAATGAAGTATTAAAATTACACTGACCCTCATTAATAGTTTTGAAGACTTTTGCCCACTACCAGTCGTATTACAGCTGAAGTATTTTCTAGATGAATAAGTACTTTTTATTGCCTTCAAAATGGATTTCGTAAGTTAATGCTTATCACTGGTACGTTTTAGATTTATCAGCAGCCTTGTTTTGTTTGAGTTATAGTGGATAATTGTCAACATAGGCATTTCTCTTGCACAGGTGCATCATAATTGTGGGTTTCTGAGATAATTGAGATGATTTATCTGAAATACATTTCAAATGAAATAGAAACAATGTAGAAAGCTGGTCTCTAAATTTACTTAGTTGAATCTGCCATATAAATCTGAACTACTGAGAGTAAAGTTGGAATGTGGGTTAATGTGTTGGAATAATTAATAAAAATTAAAAATAAAGAACTTTTCATCTTGCTGCACTACAGAAAGTCATTTAACAGATGAAACTATTTGTAATAACAAATATTTACTTTTTGTTATCTGCTGTTTTCTCTGGAATCCTTTGACTGTTTTTCCTTAACTTTTTTGTGTAGTAAAGCTGCTTATGCATTCATTCTGCCACAATCCCATCACTCTGCTTTCTCCTTCCATTTCCATCTTCCTAAGAGTATCTACGAGGGAAACTTTGGGTGTGGATACTTAAAAGAGAGGAGAGCATCGGGACTAGTCTTTTGTGAAAACACTACCTCACTCTATAGAGCACTATTTGTGAGTTCTCTGGTATTATTTGTATTTTACCTTTTATCTGCCAGAGTGTGGATTAGTGCTACTAAAGCCACTCACTCTAGTGGAATGAGAGCATGCAATTTGTTTTGCTGCATGGTTTCAACAAGTGTGCATTGTTTTTGTGCTATTTTTATTGCATTTTAAAGGTTACTTAAATTTCATTGATCAGCATATCGTTGGGTAAGTAATTAACTTTTTATGATGAAGACCCAAGATAAGTTTGTTGTAAAAACTGTTACGTTTAACTTAAATTGCTGATTCATTGAGAAATAAAATGCATACTGTACAAGCACACTGTGTGCTGATGAAATGTTGCCTTTTATTGCAAAGAAATTAAACTAATCAGCATTACAACCAACATCCCTGTAGTTTCTTTAAAAGGTGATGCACTCAATGTTTGTAAGAACTTGCAACCTCTCCACACTGGTTTCAAGTATTGCTTTAAAAATGGGTGTGTTCTTTGTGCTCCCCAAAATATAAATTCCCTTGTAAATTCTATTTCACTCCATGTTGCTCCTTGTTTTGCAAATTCCCAAGCTCCTTTTCTTTTTTTCAAATTAGTCTGTAGTCAGGAAAATCCAGGCTAGGGAGAATCACCAATTAATACTTCTTACTTTAAATTAATGTTGCAAGATTATTACAAACTAATGAGCCTCTGAATGTCTTACGCTTCAATGTGTAAACACAACCTTCGTATCTTCGAAAAGAATGAGAATCTGTTCAGAATAAGGACTCTTGCCAGACAGAGGTGGGAATGCCATTGTAGATTGTGCAGATAAGTTTGTTGCTGGCTGGCTACTTTTGGCTTATATCATAAACCGTGTTTTAAAAACACCTTCCCCCCTGCCTCCCTGAAATCCCAGCAAAACTCTTTTCTCTGGTCCTTCAGTTAGTTTTTGTGTAGAAGTTAATTTTAAAGTATCAAAAAAGTTACATCCATTACCAAATCTTGTTAAAATTCAATGAGTAAGAAATGCAGTTCATAAGGTGTGGTTCGGTTATCTTGGTATTAAAACTGATAAGTAACTGCTGGTTCTTTTAGATACAAAAATACTAGATACATCCTAGAAATAATAATTAAAAACAAAATCAAAATGCTTGATAAAGAGTATAGCCCTGATGTTTTTGTTGATCTTAGAGTCTTTGCATTAGGAGATGTCATCTACAAATAACAGCATCTGTTTAGCCATTGGACAAAACTTTCCAAATCCCTGAAGCGATTTGTGAGTCAGAGTGGAACAGCAACCATTTTGAGATAGCCAGGTCTGGATTTCCTTCAACAGCAGCGTTAACTGCCTTGTTCTGCAGTTGCTTGTGTGCCAGTCTTGCAGCAAGCAAGAGGACGAGACTTTTGGCTGGAGGCCAGGAGAGAGGAGGCGACTGTAGTAGCCCAGAGCTAATAACAGCTTCAGCAGTCATAAAACTGCATCTTGTTTTCAGGGCATCTTTAAACACAATGTATTATGGAAGCATTCACACCTGCAAGTTCCGGTATCTAATGTGACATGAGTTGCTAGGGTGAAAAGCTATTAAAAAGGGGGCTTGCTTTATATAGGGAGGGGAAACTCCAGTGCCCTGAGCACTGTCTGTTCCTTTCTAGACAGTTTTATTGACTGCTGGGAACCTAGATTCGTGACACCTAATTCAGACATTTACCCATCTAAATCTGATTTATCTGAAGTTAAGGAGTTTGAATATTATTCTCAGGATAATTTCCAAAAGTGAGTAACACTAGTTTTACAATACATTGTCATTAGTTCATAACAATTTCTGTTTTAATTTGACATCTGTATAACTGTATTTTAAATCAGCTCTTACGGATCAGTGACTGTCTTCTGGTTATCAATTGAGGATGCACTCTCAGATTTAGATACTTCTAAAGCCCCATTTTAACCTCAAGCAAGACTTAGTGAGTTGACAGAAGTAATGAGTCGTACTCCAAAGCATATTGAATTCGGATCTGGCTTAATAACAAAACAGCTTGTAAGTTGCAGTGTAATTTATAGATTTGTTATTAGGATTTACCGCAACTGTCACTGGCTGTTACAGAATGCTAGCCTGAAATCTGATTTATTCCACTGTGTCAGTTATCAGTATAGTTCTTGGATACCCATCCCCTTTTCCTGTGACTGCAGAGACACTCAGAACCATTGCAAGACAATTTTGTCACCCAAGGCAAAACCTTTTCTTGACTTTTTGTATTGAATGCTCCCTTTTCTTCTCCTAGTCTCCTCCCGCCCAGCCTTTCAGCCACCATCCTCATGGACCTGCAGCTCCTTCCCTTGAAACCTGAAGTCTGGCTTAAACATATTTGCCCCAGCTGATGTCCCTCTTGGCCTATCCTTGCTATGATTCCAGAGGAATTGAGACATGTTCAATATCCAGGAATCATTGGTTGCCTGCCTTTATAATTGATCATATAGGTTTGTTTTTCACTTTTAAAATTCTTTGAAGTAATAATATAGGGGGGAAAAAAAGATGTGTACTGAACATGCAGGTGCAAATGTGAAGGAAAGATGGCCAATAAGTTGAGGGACAGTTTAGGATTTAAATGATCTTGATGCATTGCAGATATGATCTGGAAAAATAAGGTACTTTACCATAGAGGATGGTCATTGCATCCGTACGAATATGGGATGGAAGTAATTGTCTGATGGATAGCTCTACAGAAACAGATCTGTAGTCCTGCTGTATCATGCTGTTATGAAAGACAAACACCATACATAGAAAGAGGAGTGTAGCCTGAAAGATGTATGGATTAATCCTGCTGTTATATTTAGCCTTTAGTAAGGCCTTGATTTTGGCGGCAGCAATTTAAGATCTGGAGGACAGCAGTGACGATAACGAGAAAGCCAGTAAATGTGACTAGCAAAGGAAGCGTAACTAGGCGGAGTTTAGCCTTAGGAAGTAAAGATGGGGATGGAAATGATACAAGGCTGCTGCAAACAGAGTGACTTTTTCATGTTTGTCAGAAAACAAGAAACAGTGCTTAAGCTCCAGCAAGGAACATACCTATTGGGCATTAAAAACATTTCTAATGAAAAGGATAGTTAGACATTAGGATAATGTCTAACCATAGAGAGTCTGGGGATCTTGTGCAGTCTCCATCTTTGAAGGTCTTTGAATACAATAGTAAGTCCCTAAGGTATCAGATAAATAGCTGTGGAAGATACCTTAATTTTATTTTAAAAAAAATAATGATTAACCATTCCGACAAAACCAGCCAAACTTTATTTCCGGTTTTCTCCAGTTTCATCATACCATATGTTCATTCTGAAATAGAAATTTTAAAGCTGAATGCCAGGAATCTCATCGTATATATTGGCCAACTTCAGAATATGACATTCCAAAAGAAAATTTAAAAAAGTTTTTCTGCACAAGGGTTAAATTTCTCTTGAAATTTTAGTCACTTTTTGACTTTCACTAATTTGAATTTCGGGAAGGCATTTCTTTTGGCAGAGCATTAATAATATCAGTTCCTGTTCATAAACCAGCATGTTTAAAAAGGCCGTTAGCAGGGTTTTTTTATACTACACGCTACAGCTTTTAAAGCAGAATTCTCCCTTGAAATAGAATTTGTGTTTAAAGAAAAAGCCAGCCATAAGTATACTAACTTGAAGTCTGGTTTTATTTCAAAATTGTATTTCCTGAAATTATTTCTTATGAGCTGAATGCATATTTTCTGTAACACTTTTGTACTTTGTGTGTCACTTCAAGAACAATATATTATTCTTAAAATAAAATTTAAAATTAAATTTTAAAATTTGCTTAATTGATGGAAAATAGTCAGAGGGTTTGTCCTGCTATATCAGTTCAAATCCCTATTGTTAGTGTATTTGCACGTCTTTCTTCAACTGAGTAAAGTAGACACCTTCATTCTAGTTAGCATGCAGTGTTCCTGTCATTCATCTGCTGAAGAGGCTCAAATGACTTAGATTTTTATAAGGATGCAAGTCCTAGCAATACTTTCAGCATAGTAATTTCTCCCATTACTTGTCCTATGATCAGAGAAGCTTCTATGTTGTGAGAATATGCTTAACTAAATTTTTAAAAAGTTCATTCAGAAGGCGGTCCATAGGACATCAGGCACTCAATAAAACCTATTTGGTGAAGTTTCCTTATTATGGTAAAAAAACCTGGTAAGGAAAATAGAAGTGGACTAAACTTGAGTACATTAGTTTTAAATCAGAATACAAACATCCAGAGACAAAAAGAGGAAAAGAAAAGTTTTATCAGACTTTTTTTTTGTTGTGGTGGTTCCTTCGTTGTTTTGTTTGAAATATTTTTGGGGGTTTTTTAGGTTAATTCCTGCTCCCCCCACCTCCTTCCCCCCCCGCTTTGTCCTATGTTGTTGGGTCATAATTAACCTCGTGAAATTGCTTCATTGCATGACTTATTAACCCTTGCTGTGTTCATTTTCTCCTGACTTAAAAGCGTAATCCATTAGAATTTAACCCTGATGGCTTGAAGAAGGCTGCTGTTCAGAAAGCCCTAAAGGTAAAACTAATATAGTCGTCCATTTAAGGTCACAGAAGTAATTGGGAATGCACAAATGCCTGCAACACTTCTCTTCCAATAGTGGATGGAATTTCTCTTGCCAGATGCACATTTAGCGCAGTTCCGTTTTACTTTTGTTTCGAGAAGCGGTCAAGATATTGGTAATATACTGTGGTCTGTGGTAATTTGAATTTTAGATCAGTTGAGTGGAGTATAGCCTGCTTTAGAAGAGCGGGGGGAAAAGAGTCCTCAGAGCTAATTTGAAGCATTAACTAAAGAACAAAGCTGACATGAAAGCTAAGACATCTTTTACATCCTAAATGATACTTTATTGGTCAACTCTGAATGACTAACCAATAAATTCAATCTCTGACATGTTTCGAAATAATCTTATTTCTGCTAGATGTTTTTAGAAGGCTGTATATCTTTTATGTGAATGCTAAATAAATTTAGCCCAGCTTTTTGATAGGGAAGATAGAGTTGAGAGACAAACTTGGAAAGCATAAGCCAAGTTCTCAGCTGGAGGAACCTGGACAAGAGGCAGTCTCTAATAGACTGTCCAGAGCAAATCTGTCAGTGGCAGCTGTTAGAGGTGCGTTATATATGTGTGTACATATTGCTGCCTATTTAGCATGAATTAAAAATATTTATATTTACATATCAGCATAAGAAATGGGGTCTTTTTGTCAACTTCTGTAGTTTTTTCATTTTATCAAGAAAAGGGAGTTTCAGGCACCTTTTTTCACCTTCTGTTTTTAAACATCATCAGTTGGAGTGTAATCTGACTTTGTTCCTTAAACCTTTGTATTCTCTTGTATTTGATGGGAGCTAAATATTTTTGCTTAGAAATAATGAAAAAAAAAAAAAGAAATGCGGCATTCATCCAAGAAAGGAGTGCTTTCTCAACAGCTTTTTTCCTGAAGGAAAGTATGTTTATAAGCAGTGTGTCACATCGAAGTCAAGTAATATTAGTGGAAGTGTGATGTCCAAAATGTAAGTTCGGATCAAAAAATACCTAAAATATGGACATTCTTAATTTAAAAATATAAAATATTTTAATCACTTGGTTGTAATTGTGACCTTACATGCATTAAGTAGATTTTAACTAACTTTCTGTTTACATACCTGACCTGTACAATTTCCTACATGGTGAAATTCAAAGTATATTATTAACTATTTATACTATATTTTCTAGGCATTTAAACTGCATTAACACCTGCTTGAGATGATTAACTTTCATGTCTAACTTTTCTTTCTGACTTAAATTTTTGTTAGGTTAATTAAAGAAACATGTAGTTGGGAATGTTCCTTTGTGTATGTAATTTGTTTCTAAACTGATGTTTATTTTCACAGTTTGATGTAATGCTATACACCTGGTGAGCAAGGCTCAGATATGGCAGATGGTTGATTCTCTATTAAAGAGTTTTTGGTAAACTGTAGAAATATACATCAGGTACATTATAGTGCATCTTCTTTCTCCCCAAACTGAAAAGGAGGGAATATCAGTGTTCTGATATTACATCCAGTTTAATACTACTACTGCAATGTAGATAAAATAAGCCTCCTGATTTTGTGCTTTCTCCATATCTCCCATCTGCATGCAATATTCATTTTGCAGTTTTAACTATGCTTCATTAGCTTTGGGCAATGTAATGCTCATTAAAGGCTAAGAATTTGCACATTACCAATTTAATTTGAAAAAAACAGAAAGGAGTCTAAAACTCCTGCTTATTTGTAGCATTTTGCTTCAGTGTATTTGGGTAGTTGGATGCCTTCCTGTTTATGTGTTCACAAGTTAACTCGCCAGTCTGCCATTCAAGCCTGTTGAATAAAATACTGAGAGTAATAGATAAGCATATAGTAGAATGCATACGATCTGTATTTTTAAGATGCAAAAAAATATTTACGTTTCAGAGGAATGAGGTTTTACTTTATTCTGAAGGCAAAGTTTTTGCTTTTTCTCTACCAGTCAGGAAAGAAAATAAACAGCAATCCCAACCCACTTGTTTTGCTGTCAGTTGGACACAAGGCACAGGAAAGTAAGGTAAGTTCCTACTCTTCATACTTGGCTCTGCGTGCAAACATTTGGTGGCTCTATGTGCCCAGCATTGGCTGTCAAGCCATTGAGCGTGTCCACTGCACTAACAGTTACCACCAGAACTGAAATTGCCAACAAGAAGCCAAGGACTGAATGGGTGCTTACTCAATTTAAACTGCCTGTGAGTAGAGACCAGATTTTTAACTATTCGTAGATGTCTTTCCTCAGTAGGTTTTGATCTGCAGCTGGGACTCCTACAGTAGTGATTATATAAATAATACTGTAGGCAGACAGCAGGCTTCAGAGTACTGATTGAGATTTGGAAATCCACAGAATCACAGAGTTCCAGAAATGCTAGGGTCAAAAGAGACCGCTGAAGATCATCTGCTTGAACCTTCTGTTTAACTATGGCCTTAGATGAGCCAAAGTGCTGTGTAGCCCTCAGGAGCTCGTATTTTAGCCAGGCTACTTTGTTGTTATGTCTGCCGCTTTTTCTGCTTTGAGGTATGAACACTTCTGTGCTTTGAGAAGGCTGTCCTCTAGCACTCCTGAGCTCCTTTGCCTTCCAAGGTAGGCGCTCATGGAATCCCTTCTAATAGTTCCTAGAGCGAGTTGAAATCTGCTTTTCTGAAGTCCAGAGCTTTTATTCTGCTATTTCTTTTCCTCATGCCCCTTAGGATCTTAAGCTCTGTGATCTTATGGTCACTATAGCCACAGCTGCTGTTGATAGTCACATCTGCTAACCAATATTCCTCATTTGTAAGTTGTAGATTCAGAAGAACACCACTCCTAGTCAACACATCCAGTGACTGAGAACGACCATAACACAAGAGGGTGTGTCTTCCTAGCACAAACTCTTAAATTGCTTGTGCACCTCTGTGCTGCTTTCCTAGAAGACATTAGAGTAGTTGAAGCTCTCAGTCAGAACCTGGTTCTGCAGACCTGAGACAGCTTTGAGTCATCTGAAGAAGGTGTTGTCCGTCTTTTTTCCTAATTGGATGGTCTGCACAGATGCCTGCCATGCGATCGATCTTGATGGTGATCCCGATGATTTTTGACCCAAGGCATTCATCATACCTGTCATCTTATCCATAGCTAACCTCTGTGCATTCCAACAGCTCTTTAAAATAAAATAGCAACAGTGAAGTGATACCAAGATAGGTAGATATGTGCAATATGAGTGTGTTTTATGTTGTTTTTTTTTTAAAGTAAAAGTGTCAGTGAGCCAAAAGGAGAGGACATCTAATTCAGCTTCTTCATATCCTGTCAAAAGTTGTCACAAAACCTTAATCAGATCTTATATACAGTCTTAATTTTGAAACTTATTAGAGAATGGAGATAGAAATTCAAGTCCGTTGTTCCTGGAGATACCTTTTCTAATGAGCGCTTTTTTCTCTTTTCCTCCGACTCCCCCCAGTGGGTTGCTGAAAGCAGTGTGAGATTTGGCAGTGAAATCTTCCACTTGGATACTTGGAGATTAGAAAGAAAAATACTAGTTTCTAGGAGTTTCATTGAGTTAGTTCAGCCCTTGTGGGGAAGCGTGAGAAGAATGTGCCAGTCTGAAGACCTTGCGTTTGTTCATAGGCTGGTGTGAAGTAAAGGTTCTTTAGCAGAAGTTTTACCTTTCATACAGCAACTTTAATGCAAAACATATTCTATTACATGTCCTGTGTAGCGTGTATATATATATGCCTTGGGTAGATCCCACTTGACTCTTGTTTAAATATGTCAAGTTTCAGACATTAATTTTGCACAGCCAAAATGAAAAATATACTCAACTCTTGACACTGACTTTATTAAGCAAAAATGTTTTATTATTTGTATGCATCCTGTTCTCTAACTTCAGATTCGGTACAAGACCAATGAACCAGTATGGGAGGAAAACTTTACTTTCTTTGTACACAATCCCAAAAGACAAGATCTTGAAGTTGAGGTATGTTGTCTCAGTCTCTTTGGATACCTTTCTTTTCTAAGACATTTCAGTAGTCACACTCAGACATTACAGACTGTTAAAAAATGAGACTGAATGTATTATGAACACTGTTAAAATTACACTTAAAGTGGTTTTTAAGACCAGGCTATGAAATGTTTATTTGCATTTACCACTAAAAGAAGGAAAGACTATAACCAGTCTCTCACCAGAAGAACAGATTGTCTTACTTGAAAAACAAAAACAAAAACGAAACTGAAGTGTAAATGGGTGCTGTCCCAGTTACTATTCCTCTAACAGTTGTGGGAATTCATTTTCACACAGACCGTTTGGAAACCATGTAGTTATTTGATCCAGGGTCAGGGAGACGTAGGTGTGATGGTTAGTTTTCTATCTTGCTTTTGCTGTAGAAGATGGGGATGAAGAAATGTAGGCATTGAGTGTATTTGCTGTTTCCTTCTTCCATGTAAAGTAATCTTATGATCAGGGAAATTTGGTTTATGAACACACTACATTCGACGTTGTTTGGATTTTTTGTTTTCAAAGAGAACTGTCATTTCCTTTTCTTTCTCTGAATTCTTACAAACCAGATGATACAAAATGACAGCTTCTGTGTTCCTTCAGGTAAGGGACGAACAGCACCAGTGTTCTTTGGGGAACTTGAAACTGCCTCTAAGCCAGTTGCTGGAGAGTGAAGATTTAACTATGCATCAGCGGTTCCACCTGAGCAACTCTGGTCCAAACAGCACTATAAACATGAAGATTGCACTCAGGGTACTCTAAAACTTTTTCCATTATAAATATCTGAAAGTATATTTAAGACTGTCGTGACTTCCAGTCTTCTTGCTTTATCAAGAAGATAGTACATTTCCTTGGGTGTCACAATACCAGGTGTCCTTAGTTGTGGCAGTGCTATCAAGTACACAAAGATAATCTCTAATTCATACACATTCTATTTCAAAACCAGAAAATTCTCCGAACGAAACAGTAATCAGCTGCATTAATTAAGACTGGGGTTCCCCGTGGTCTTAGGTTCGGAAATCATGTTTGGAATCTGAGTTCCTTCAAGTTTCTTATGACTCAATAGGCTACAGATCCTTGAAATCACCTTTATTTTACAGAAATGGAATTGAGGTTATGATGGTTTAAAAAGAGTAACGTTTATAAGGAAAGGAAGTACCTTCATAGTACTAGAGAAATTCAGACCAACTTTCAAGCACTTCAGAGTTTTGAAGATGAAACTTGCATGCCTGAAAGTTGGTTTGTCTTTTTCCCCAGCTAAATGATGTAGTTTAATAAGGCAGCGTTCAGCTTTGCAAACACTGTCAAACTTCTGTTATTTGCTCTCTTCTAATGCACTTTCTTGCTTACTTGTCATTAATAAATGAAAACAACCTATAAAAAAGAAAGTAAGGGCAATGAGTGAGAAGGATTTGCAATGCAGGATTAAATTTCAAAAGATTAGAAGTAAAAAATTATAGAATAGCTTTCCAGGTGGCTAGAGCCACAAAGTAAATAACACTTGCACCAGAAGTGCGTAGAGTATGGGAAGAGAATAATGAGGAGAATAATTCTAAATGAGTGGAGAATTTCACATGGTTTTATCGTTACTGCAGTTGCCACAAAGAAGATGGAGCTGTGTTTTGCTGTGCAAAAGGTTTCCTTTTGTAGAGTGAATGAGTATAAGTGTGAATTTTTTTGGTCCTACATTAGTGTCTGAACTTAACAACTTGTCACCAACCAGTGCTCCTGTAGAAACAAATTTGTTCCTGTTTTTTAAACTGGAAAATAGTAATATTATATGTATTTTTACTGTATTTAGGTCCTTTCTCTTGAAAAGCAAGCAAGATCTCCAGATCATCAACACTCAGCCCAAGTAAAAAGGCCATCTCTTTCCAAAGATGCAAGGAAATCATCTTTTAAGCCTCAGGTTCCTGTCTCACCACCACCTGATTCAAACAAACCTGCTCCAGCTTCCCCAGTGACTGATAGTGATAAAAAGACTGATACAGCTGAAAAAAGTCAACCTCCCAATGCCAGCCCTCAGTGGCCAGCAGATCTCAGCCGAAGTTCCTCCAGTCTTCATGCCTCTAACTTCTCTTATTCTCCCAGCCACCTCTCAGTCAAGGAACCCACTCCTAGCATAGCCTCAGACATATCCCTGCCTATCGCCACACAGGAGCTGCGGCAAAGACTACGACAGCTTGAAAAGTACGATGTTAATTACTTGTTTGTGCAATACATCTAAGTCGATCTTTCAAAAATGTCGTCAGTGTGAGTGCTTAGTTTGCATTTCAGTAATAATTGCTCCTGTTGTAGTTTAAGCCTGGCATTTGAAAATCAGTCATTGTGATTTTCTGCTTCCTCACAGTACCTGAGTTAGATTCTGCAGTTAGAAGGTACCTTTACCATTGCGATGATCTGCAAGGTAAAGTCCACCTTGTTCTCCTAGCTACACTGCATAGTGCTGAAAAGAGTGCGATGGCAAGATGGAAGAATATTTTTTGATACATTAATCACTTTCATGGCAATAGTTGCCTGTTTCACCACTGCATCCTATTAGCATCAATATTAAGCCAATTAAGCTGGATATAGATAGTCTTTTTAAATTGCTCAGAGGGATGACTGACTCTAAGGAATGTTAAATGAATAGTCAGTTACTATTCAATTAATGAGGATTGCTGCAGCCATGCTTTCTGAAATTCTCTAATTTTTTTTTACTTGCCTCAACAGGCAGCTGTACTTACCGGTAAAGATAGCTGAGCAGCCATTCTGCTCTGAATAGGAGAATGGAAACCATTAGTTCCCTATTCATGTAGCTTCTCTGTGAATCTAAGTTGGAAAGATTTTAATTTTTTATTTGTAAGAGATTGAACCAATTAATCTTTTTCTCTGTCAGAGTTCGTAGAATCAAGAAACCTTTGGAGGTTGGCCAGCCCTCTGCTCAAAGCAAATCCCACTTCAAAGTTAGATCAGGTTTCTTGGGCCTTGTCCAAACAAGTTTTATAGACTCTCCATCCCTGGAGATATTCAAACTTTCTCAGCAATTCCGGTGCTTAACCACTCCACTGTGAAAATGTTTTTTCCTTGTTTCCAGTTGGAATTTATCTTGCTGCAACTTGATTGTGGCCTCTTGTTCTTTTACTGTGCACAGGCATGAGGAGTCTGACTTGGTCTTCTCTGTGGTGTCTGTTTTAAGTAGTGAAAGACTGCAACTGGATCTGCTGCTGTCCTTCTCTTGCATTTGTACGATCCCATTTCCTTCCCCATCTGCCAATGTGCTCCAGTCCCCTAATTATTTTTGTGGTCCTCTGCTGTCTTGTTTTCAGTTTGTCAGTCTCTCTTCTGGCCCAAAACTGTGTCAGAATTTTTTAATTATGATAAATGTCAAAATACTACTTCTTATTTAGTACAGAAATTTTACACTTTCTCATTTGACGAGAGTGGCAAAGCCACAGCTAAGGAGGTCTTTTATTGCAGGCCCCATGTTTTTAGGTGCTCTGTTTTGTTGTTTTTTTTTAATTTTAGCTAAGAAAATACTGAACTGAAATGCTTCATTCTAGTTTTTGGGATGATTTGGGAATTTTGTTGGAACATTCTGCCATCATTTTGCAGTAGCTCTTCAGGAAAGAGGCATGCCTTTGCCTTGAGGTTAAGACAGCCTTTAGGTGGTTGAGGAATGCTGAGCATGCCGTATACTGTGAAATGGAAAATACTCGTAGTCAGTTTACACAAACTAAAATCAGCATTTTATAAACGTGAGGGAACTCTGCAAATATTTGCCATTCTTTAAAATGGAAATTCTTATTCATGGTGCTTGCTTTTTATTTAAGCATGACTTGTATTTGTAAGTGAAAATGAGATTAGAATCAATTTACAATGTGGCATGAGCAACAGAAGAGTAAAATGGCTGTGTTTATACTGTGATTTGAGCTTTTAAGGCAGTAAGTGGGTTTAAGTGTCACTATTTTAAGCCAAGAATATTTGTATTTCTGTGTTAGAGAATTTAGAAAAGAATGAGTTGATCTTCTAGTTGATTCCTGGCCATAGGTAAGGAGTGGCAAATCGTTAAGGTTTTCATTGCAGTTTGCACCGTTATTCTTTCCAATTTCCCAGATACTGCTTTGATTTTTGTTTTAGAGTAAGCAAGTTCTTTAGTGATAATGGTTTTCAAAGTACTGAAGAGTAGCTGACCTCTAAACTGACAAGAATATCTGACTTATTTTGGAGAGTAGAGCTGTAGAACAAGGAACTGAAGTACAAGAAACTGATGAAGAAATGCTCACATGCTAATACGTGCTTTTCTTTCACATTGGTCTAGGGAAAAGTTAAATGGATAATCCATGATTTCTGGGAAGACTATTCAGCATATATTTCAGTTAGGTCTTACTTTAAACGTGTGTTTTAAAAACTAAGCATATTGTTCTCCTTTTTCCTGCAGTGGAACAACTCTGGGGCAGTCTCCATTAGGACAGATTCAGCTAACAATTCGTCATAGTTCACAA